CGGCGCCCCCCCGCCCCCCCCCCCCCCCCCCCCCCAGTCCGTTCCCACAGTCAGTGCTGGAGAATCCCTGCGGGGAGCCGTGAGTGACAGTCATGGCTCTCTGCAGGGACAAGATCGAGAAGTGAGCAAGCGCCGGTATGTGTTCGCTCACTTCCCGATCTCCTGAGCCGACCTGTTGACAGTTTCATTGTCACAGGTCGGCTCGAACTATGAGGAGTAAAAATCACTCACCTCATAGTTCTCCTTTAACATTTCTGGTCCACCTTCCCAGAGTGCACAGCGCCATATTGGTGTGTCCTGTCAGAGGATTCATAGAAGGAGATTTAGGGGTGTGTTTATAAAACGTTTGCACAGCTACTTGCTCCGTGAACATCTGTGTTGTAGATTTGCACCACTTTACGGCCACTAGATGGAGCCGGGGAGTTCCCTGTGATTCTCGACTCCATCTAGTGGCCGTAATGTGGTAGTAAGCCCCAACATAGACCGCCTTCTTTACCCCTGGTTGCCCCCCCAGTTTTGGGTTAAATGATGACCAAGTCTCTTCAGTGAGCCTATGTCACAATACGGTAGTGACGCACTCGGTGTAACGCTGCAAAGAACGGAGCCGACCCATCACAACATGAGATCCGCCTGACGCAGCGCTACAGAGCCCCCACTTCCCGACGCCGGAGAACCAACCTCATCATGTAGCTGCCTACACCTGAGGTATGTATGCTTTACAGTAGGGGTACTTGTACTCGCCAAAATGCTCCGATACCTTCCACCGATACCGGAACTTCTGGTCAGAGGAAGATTTCCTCTGACCGGCAGTGCCGCGAGGGAACATGGAGCCGTCTTCCCGGCCAATCAGGAAGTAGGGCCGTGGGTAGGGCAGCAGCTAACGATTATTTTCATAATCGATTAGTTGCCCGATTATTTTTTCAATGAATCGATTGGTTGTAGTAAAAAAAAAGCCTCTCGCTCGCTCCTCTCGCTCTCAATCGCTCCTCTCGCTCGCTTCTCGCTCGCTCTCTCCTCGCTCGCTCTCTCCTCGCTCGCTCTCTCCTCGCTCTCTCCTCGCTCGCTCTCTCCTCGCTCGCTCTCTCCTCGCTCGCTCTCTCCTCGCTCTCTCCTCGCTCGCTCTCTCCTCGCTCTCTCCTCGCTCTCTCCTCGCTCTCTCCTCGCTCGCTCTCTCCTCGCTCTCTCCTCGCTCGCTCTCTCCTCGCTCTCTCCTCGCTCGCTCTCTCCTCGCTCTCTCCTCGCTCTCTCCTCGCTCTCTCGCTCCTCTCTCGCTCCTCTCTCGCTCCTCTCTCGCTCCTCTCTCGCTCGCTCCTCTCTCGCTCGCTCTCGCTCGCTCCTCTCTCGCTCTCGCTCGCTCCTCTCTCGCTCGCTCCTCTCGCTCGCTCCTCTCTCGCTCGCTCCTCTCTCGCTCGCTCCTCTCTCGCTCGCTCCTCTCTCTCTC